GTGGACCTCGGCATAAAACACTGTTAGAAATCGCTAGGCCTGTGCGGTAGGAGCAGCACAATCACAGCGAAAACTAGAAGAGCGGCTTTTTTGAGATGATGATGATGATGATCCTTCTTACTCTGGTGCACTCCCACAAAGGGGGATTGGCCAAAAACCGGGTGGCAGGATCTTTAAGTGAAAGACTTATGGTTTTACAAACACAAAGAAATTTTGGACTGAAAAGAATTATATAAAAAGAAAAGCCAAAAATCTAAAAAGGAGCATATCTGAGCAGGGATCGGTGCAGGCTATCAGATGCGATTTGAATAATGGTGAGTCTAAAACGAATAATATATATATATATATATATATATATATATATATATATATATATATATATATATATATATATATATATATATATATATGTATATATATATATATATATAAATACAATATTAATGAGATGTTATTTACATTCCTTGGCATTACTGTCTGTTACATCTCATTAATATTGTGTTAAAACACGGAAATACGAGCCCTTAGGTATACACTTCTCTCCCTTATTTCATTGAACGAGGGTCTCGTACGGGCAGACTTGGTGTGTTTAGGTTGTACAAGAGAGACAATTAATCAGCTGCCCGCTCATAATAAGTTCACGTGCTACGTGACGCCAAACATGCGAATAAGAGTGTTTTCACACTCGTTGTTTGGCTTATAGATGGCGCTGACTGTCACTCCTACTTCTTCTAAAAAATTCACATATAAAAAAAAACCCAAAAAAAGTGGATGGAGGGACGGCCGCTGTGATAGCTCAGTGGTTAGAGCATCGAACGCGTTATTCGAAGGTCGTAGGTTCGATTCCTGCTCACAGCTGGTAATTTTTTCATCCACTTTTCTTTCTTCTTTCTTCTTATTTACATTCCATTGGTTCTAATAACTTCCCCTGTACATTCCTTGGTATTACTGTCTGTTACATCTGATTAATATTGTGTTAAAACACGGAAATACGAGCCCTTAGGTATACACTTCTCTCCCTTATTTCATTGAACGAGGGTCTCATACTGGCAGACTTGGTGTGTTTAGGTTGAACAAGTGGGACAATTAATCAGCCGCCCGCTCATAATAAGTTCAAGTGCTACGTGACGCCAAACATGCGAATAAGAGTGTTTTCACACTCGTTGTTTGGCTTATAGATGGCGCTGACTGTCACTCTTACTTCTTCTAAAAAATTCACATATAAAAAAAACCCCAAAAAAGTGGATGAAGGGACGGCTGCTGTGATAGCTCAGTGGTTAGAGCATCTAACGCGTTATTCTAAGGTCGTAGGTTCGATTCCTGCTCACAGCTGGTAATTTTTTCATCCACATTTCTTTCTTCTTTCTTCTTACTTACATTCCATTGGTTCCAACTACTTCCCCTGTACATTCCTTGGCATTACTGTCTGTTACATCTCATATATATATATATATATATATATATATATATATATATATATATATATATATATATATATATATATATAGGCACTTTAACATGGCAATCGCTTTGTTTCAATTATGTAGTCAAATACCGCAGAGCAGATGTCCCTGTGGCTATAACCAAATTTAATGCTGCCAAGCGATAAAATGAATTACTGTCACATTTAATTAAACCCAAATTTTTCAGGTGGAGCTACCAGGTATCTTTTGCGCTAATAAGAATACCGGTGACAGAATTAAAAGAAATGATCTATCGTTTCCATTTCTTCGGAAACCTGACATAATGGTGACGCCTTTAGACCGGCTTTATGAAAATAATAATTTAGTTGTGGAATTCTACAACGCAATATTGTATAAGTAACTTCCAATTGCCGTGTTACGCACCACTGTCTATTCCAGCAACATCTTATATGTGCGAAATTTTGAAATTTTTCCAATGAGTAGCAGTTTCATTCATGCAAACAGAGGTTTCTAAACCTTATTTTCGTCGCGTAAGCCGTATCAGGCAAAATGGGGGTAAGGGGACCGCTAAGAGATACTGTGACTATTGCATCCGCCATCTCATTGAGATATATGCCACGATGGCCTGGTACCCATAAGAGCTGCAGTTTTTGCAAGTTTGTCGGTATGAGTTGTCGAAACATGTGCATAAGTGTTAAGTTGGCTTTTGAAGACAGAGCAGCACATTATGAAAAAGAATCTAATTACGCCTGCTTCCAATTCGCCCAAAGGAAGTTTTCATAGTGCCAGTACAATAAGAAATAATTCTGCTATGAATATTGGTGTGTAATCTGGAAGTATAACCGGAAAGCACCTGTCAAGGGAACGTGAGAAGATGCCTGCCCCAGCCTTTTCATTTAATACGGATGCATCAGTCGCAATCATGTTGTTCATGTTCACGTTTGCCAAGTAATCTTGAAGTCGATCCTTTAAATATTAAAACGACATTTGCTTTGCGTTAGAGGGATAAATATTTTCGAATTCTATCTGAAGATCTAAATTAAAGTTACTTGCTGAGAAAATATGTTTGATTTTGACGTTCAGTGGTTCTAGCAGCACTTGAACGAACATGATCTGTGGGCAGTGGAATCGCAACCACCGAGTTTCAAAAAATAAGCATGGCTCTTTATTAAAAGCCTAAAACGACTCTCTCCGGGGCAAAGTGTACAGTTTCAAAAATGTTTGGATAGTAAGCATTTTGAATCTATTCAACAATGACGGTAGATGCACTTTCATGTATAGCGCATTGTTAGAAACAAACTTGGGCAGTCCAAGGCACAGTCGTAAAGCTTCACTTTCTAATAGTATTAGCGCTCTCATTTTATAAGTCGCACTGCCTGAAAATAAGACACAGCCGAATTTCATGATAGAACGCATGTCCATTTTATAGATCATTACCAATGTATTTGTTCGCAACCCCGTTTTTCTGTTGCTGAGCTTGCGTAACCACCCCATGGCTAGCATTGCTTTGGACCCAATGTGATTAATGTGACTTTTCCAATTTAACGAGCTGTTATATATGATGCCTAAGTATTTGAAGGAATCCACCTGGGGAATCTGCTCTGTGCCATACATCAGGGAGATGTTGACAGGATCGCTGAACGAGAACGCTAGAAGCGCGCTTTTGTTTACATTTAAATACATTCGATTTTTTTCAAGCCATTCCTCTATCATGATTAGGTAATTCTGTAATGTATGATAAAGTAGTCTCTACAAAACACTCTTGCTCTTCTTCTTCTTCTCCTCTTCTCATGACTTCTCATTGGGTAACTACTGCAAGCACACTAGCTTGGTACCTACAAGGGCATTAACAATAAATTTTTGGGTAGCAGGCCGGCATTCGTTATGCTATTTTTCACCATTCTCCTCAGAAGCGCAGTATGCGCTAAAGACTTGCAAGGAATTGTGTGCCGACTGTCCATGCAGTGGCTGATGATAATGAAGAATTATGGCTGAAGTGCTTATGCGCCACAGTTAATAGGAAAAAAAGGACAAGCTTTTAAGATGGTTTGGAGCATTGGTCGGCCCACTCGTTACGCTAATCGCATTTTGCGACGACTGGTTGCTCTTTCGCTGTTGTGAAACGCATTATAAGTCGTATTAACGCGATAGCTTTCCCGACATCAAGCCTGCCTAAGGCAAGATTTACAAGTCCCACGCACCGGTGTCGCTCAGTGGTAGAATACTAGGCTGGCACTCAGTGGACCCGGACACAAGCCCCACTGTGCCATTGGGCTAGGTCGTGCCAGCCTAAAGCAAGTTTCACAACGCATGCATTGGTGTGAGTAATTAGTAGAATATTGGGCTGGACCCAGCGGAACCCGGGTTCAAGCCTCCATGTGTCATTGGTGCATTGCGCCTTGTGGCTACGGATACCAGCGGCAACGGCGGTGGTGGACAACAACTGGGCGTGACCCAAAATGTGATCTCATAACAGCTTTCGCTGTAAAAATGCTAGCGATAAGGTGCTTTGCGCAGTGTGTTTTACCAAAGGCTTGTCCGCCACTCTGGATCAGTGATTAGCGTACTCAGCTGACTGATGGATATGAGGGATTTATCGTCCCAAAAACACCATATGATTATGAGAGACGCCGCCGTGGAGGGCTCCGGAAATTTCGACCACCTGGGGTTCTTCAACGTGCACCCAAATCTGAGTGCACGGGCCTACAACATTTCCACCTCTATTGTGAATGCAGCCGCCGCAGCCGGGATTTGAACTTGCGACCTGCGGGTCAGCAGCCGAGTACCTTAGCCACTAGACCACCGTGGCGGGGCAGCGCAATGAGTTGTTGTCCCGAAGATCGCGGGTCAGATTCTAGCTGCGGTGGTCACATTCTGGTATATTAGTAGTGCTGGAGGTCTGCATTGCATGTCGAAGAATACCAGATGAGCATCCCTAATAATGGTATCTTATTTTGGGGACGTGAAAACCCTGATATTACTAGCATCAATACAGCCTTGTTTCACCTCAGTAGAGAGTCGGTGGCATTACAATTGTGAATGTTTCTTCCCCACTCCTTCCTCGTCCTCGGACTTCTTTGACCAGCTCCCAACATTGCTATGTCCCTCTTTTTCCGCCATTTGCCAGTCCTACTTCTTTATTAATCAATATCATTCCTATATTCTATCATATCTACCCTCCTTCCATTCCCTGCAAGGCGCTGAGCCGTGTTCCGCGAGGGCTCCAGAAAATGCGGCCTTCTTTTTCCAAGACCACGCATTCATTCAATCGTAAAGCTGTTTCAGAAGAGGGACGACACGAGACATACGCCATTATATCTCTTGTGCCATTTTGACTTGCCAACTTCGGGAGGTATTAGCCGAATACGTTAAGTAAAACTATGCGCAGCTACTATATCTCTCATTATTAAGATCGCAGAGCCATGCTGCAGTTTGTGTTGTTGTGTAGTAGAAACACCAGAAAAAATTGTTCCACACTATTTTATTTGATGTACTTCAAAGAGTAACTGTGACTCTAAGGCCATGTACGAATGATCGAAAGTCAATTGTAGTAGTCATGTTTTGTTCTGCGCTTACCTCCTGCGGTGGTCGTTGATGATGTGGTCGCGGTTGATGATGTGGTCGTGGTTGCCTGTGTGGTCGTGGTTGACGGTGTGGTCATGGTCGACGATGTGTTCGACGTTGAGGGTGTAGCCGTAACTGGCAGAGAATCAAGCAAAAAAAAACAGAATCAGTTGAGGGCGAAGCAAAAGTAAGAGTAGGAGTGGTTTTTATCTGCTCCCACTCAGCTCTAGAAAAGGCTGGTTCACATGATTGCAACCATTCCACGGGTAGAAATAGTTTTTGCGCTGTCAGCTCTCTAAACGTGAACTTTCTTTTATTGTACAATGGTTAATTTGTTAAAATGGAAGAAACAGCGATGTCAAAAGAAAGCCTGCTGTCAGGAAGTGCTCCAAGCGTAAAAGCTAATGTGTAACAGGAAATGCGCTTGCGTCTTTCCAACCTATGATGCCTTCTAAAAGAACCGTTGTCGGTCAGAAGATGTTTATTTTTTTGCATTACTCTGTAACAGCTCTAGCGCCATCCAGAAAGTCAATAGAAAGTGCCTCAGCTGTATCGGATGCGTCAGTTGCAACAGTCTCAAAACCAAGTACTACCGGCAACACCCCCAACACCCATGTCGAATGTCGTTGCTGAAACTGGACGGGTCCCACTTTAATGAGTCACTGCTTATGAGCCTGAAGAATAACGTCGCTTTTGGCAAAGCGCTGTTTTAAAAGATCCAGCGCTCCACAAATTGCAGCTTGCCTTTGCTGGAAGTCCGGCTACAGCTGATGCCGTGTCACCGGTCAGAACCGGAACGCAAATAGGTGAACCGGTCTACGTCAATGAGCGCACCATTGTTGTAAATTAGTTGACTATACTTTTTTCAAAACAGAAAGGTCCCCAACGCGACATTTCGCCTAAAGCACACTTGTCATAAGCACACCTGTAATAAGGTACACTTAGTTTACAAACGAATATTACATGATTATGAAGTATTGGTTCTGGAAATTCGCTTTCCTTGATGCACGCCACTATCTATAGTCAACGACAACTTTCCGGCTAGAATACAAGATGACAGAGCCCTTGATGTGACTGTGAGTTTTTGCAGAAACAGTATAGTATTTTCGGGAGACTTCAATTCCCATCACGTGTCGTGGGAATTCCGCACTGATTCATCTGGAAAACGGTTGTGGGGCAGGACTAATCGGAATAACCTTATTTGTTTAAATTCCAGAGTTCCCAAATTCTTTCGAAGTAATTTGAGATCCGTCTTAGAATTGACTTTAGCTAGCTCAAATGTGACAATATCGTATTGGATTGTTCTTGATACCGCTACAAGTAGATATCACTGTCCCCTGGTATTTGAAGTCAGCATTTCTTTATTGACGGTAGATCGCCAGGTGCAAAGTTTTGTAAACTACTCTGAATTTAAAAAGAATTTACAGTCCACGTTGTCTTCCTTGCCCAATATTGAATCAAATATGAAAGCTATGAGTCTTTGTTCCATTTTAAAACGTACAAATAAAAAATCACGGTTCACTATATCTTCAACAAAAGAAAAAATCATATCTGCCTAGTGGAATTTGGATTGTGCTAGAGATTATAGACCACGCACAGCTGCATGGAAAAAACTCATTACCAAGCATGTCCGACTAATTGAAGAATTATTTATTTGCTAAAGCTACGTTTAAGAAAACAGTGTCATTAGCGAAAGATGATTATGAAGAAAAGCGATATAGCTATCTATCCAAGAGCGGCAACAAGAAAGATCTAGTCAGATTTCTCCGTTATTGTAAAGCTATTACAGCACCCGTAAATATTGACTCCTTTATTTTTTCTCCAACTGAGTTGGAAGATACATTACATGGAATCGCATTAGGATTGGAGAAGAGATTTAAATCACAAATTCAAATAAAGTTTGTAAAACCTTCATTCAGAAATGATTTTGTTCAAGTAAGTAGGAATGAACTTGCGCACGTCGTTCGTATTCTGCCAAACACAGGTCCTGGACCAGATGGCGTCACTTCAGCAATGTTAAAAATATTATTCGACATCTCTTATGAAGACCTCCTTAACGTTGTCAACTATTCATTTGAAAATAGTTGGATGCCTCCTGACTGGAGACTTGCAAAAACAATACCGCTTTTTAAAAAACAGGGATTAGGAATGCAGATAGGTAACATTAGGCCAATCGCTTTAACATCACATGTAGTTAAGTTAATAGAAAGAATACTTTACATTAGAGTTATGAAGTTCACAACAGATAATGCAATACTCAGTGCGCGCCATATTGGATTCAGACCAGGTTATTGTATATGGTGGGCGCACGTTGATTTAGAGGCTCGTATAAAGCTTCCTCCCCACAGACGACAATATGGGGCCCTAGTAACCCTTGATTTAGCCAGGGCATATGATAGTGCTGAACATGCAATTCTTATCAATGCCCTAAAAGAGCTAACGTTCCCGCAGTACATAACAAATTCGATATACGAATTTTTAAAAGACAGAAAATTTTATTGCTCCCAACAAGGTGTCTCCACACCGAAGAATAGCCAAACGAGAGGTTTTCCGCAAGGCTCTGTTCTATCGCCTGTGCTATTTAACATTTTGTTAAGTTCAATAACACTGAGTGATAAGGTACAAGTATATGTATATGCAGAGGATATTGCGCTTTTTGCATCTGACTGTGATATTCATTTACTACAATCGACTTTACTGGTTTATTTGGCAACATTGGAAACCTGGTTTCTGAAAATTCATATGATTCTGAACGTAAATAAAAGTGCTATAATAGTTTTTCGATTGGACGTACCAGTTACTATTTCTCTTCAGTACCATCAAAAAAATAATTCCCCAAGTTAACTGTAATAAATATCTGGGTGTATTGTAAGATCAAAAACTGAGCTGGCGTGATCGCATTGAACATATTAAAATTAAGGCTACACGCGCTGTTGAGATGATAGGTAGGCTTGGCCGCCTCTGTTCCAGTCTTCGCAGAGATACGCTGATCACGATTTATTGCATGTACGTTCGTCCAATTCTTGAATTCGGATGTGTACTATTCTCTGGTGGACCTACATACAAAATACACCCCTTGATTCTCTTAGAGCGGGAAGCTCTTCGGAGTTGTTTAGGTGTGCCAAACTTGCCCCGCCGCGGTGATCTAGTGGCTAAGATACTCGGCTGCTGACCCGCAGGTCGCGGGATTAAATCCCGGCTGCGTTGGCTGCATTTCCGATGGAGGCGTAAATGTTGTAGGCCCGTGCGCTCCAATTTGGTTGCATGTTAAAGAATCCCAGGTGGTCGATATTGCCGGAGCCCTCCACTACGGCGTCTCTCATAATCATATAGTGGTTTTGGGACGTTAAACACTACATATCAATCAATCAATCAATCAATCAATCAATCAAGTGTGCCAAAATTTACAGCTATCAATGTTTTGTATCAAGAAGCCCGGATACCCACTCTTGCTTGTAGATTCCGTATTTTAACAGTCAAAACATAATGAAAATTTTCTGAATCTACTTTAAGAAGGCGACAGCTTGTATTGTTTGCCGAGTCCGGTGTCTTTTTCATTTTCAATGAGCATTGGTCCCGTGTATATACACCCCAAGTGCTATTTGTTCAAGCACTTCTACATGCTTTAAATGCTAATATAATCGAGATCACACCATCTGACAAACCAATCGGCCATGTGCAAATAGAATTCGATGATATCTTCCCCATAAATGCTAAACACTTGCCATTTAAATATTTGATTGGTTTATTAGAACAACACCTGTCTCAATTAGGTACTAATATTGTTATTGCAATGGATGAATATATGAGTGGCGAGAAGGCAGGTGTGGGTATTTTTTCTCTCTCATTATTCTGGTCATTTTCATTACGCCTCCCAGATTATACACCAATATTCCAAGCGGAAATATTGACCGTTATGCTAGCTATTCGTAAACTTCCTGCGACTCATTCGACAGCTGTGATAGTGACTGACTCGTATTCCGTGTGTTCATTTTTATCATCGTCGTTGACATCAGCAGTATTAGAAACTTTGAAATCATTAATCCCAGAAAACATTCGTCTAGTGCGAATGATATGGGTGCACCAATATCATGCCAGGTCATCGTAGTATTTTTATGAAGGAGGTGGTTGACACACTCGCGCGAACATCCCTTGATCTTTCGATTGTGCCAATCATGCCTCTTACGGCTTATGTAACAGCAGTGAGGTTCAGAAAACTTTCCCTTCTTGAAGACTCATCAAAAATTACGATACCGAATCCAGATTTATCGCACCTGCACTTCAAATGGAATAATAAATGATGTCCCACGCGTAATTCGGAAGTCTCTATAACACAATTACGTTGCCGTGTACCACCTCCAAATTTCTACTTAAACAGGTCTGGTCTGGTGCCATCCCCTCTGTGCTGAAGCTTTAACGAACCTGAACATATCGACCATATTCTTATCACTTGTCACTGTTTCAAAAATTAAAGAAAAAATTGCTTCGAAGTTTTCTTAAAAAAACTAGGAGTATTGCTTACTACTCCTAATATTTTGTCTTGTGGGGCCGCTTCATTGAGACACAGTGAGAGAAACATCTGCGTGGCTCTCTGCGAATTTCTATGTAACGCAAGAAGATTACCTTCCTGAGCCGTTGATCAGCTCTCCATTTTCACTAGCCAATCTACATTTCGCTGTACCACTGTAATGATTTAACCTTCATAAGAATTTCATATAACGGTTACACTTCAGATATTCAACAAATTGCATTAGTTCTCTCCTTCCCCACTTTTTTTCATTGTGGCAAATTAATTTCACAGTCAAAACAAAGTCATCCTATTCCCCTAGTCTGGAAAACATAAAGGTATTGACTTGCTTTAACCACTGGCTTCTTGGCCAATCCCCCTTAGTGGGTGAGAGCCACAAAAGGAAGGACCAAGCAAGCAAGAACAGAGCAGTGCATTCGGAATAAAGGGGAGGTCGACTGGTGGGCTTCGCCTTGGAGATGGCGGCTCGTTCCTTTGTTCTACATTTTGGTGCCTTGAAACCCGGTGGAAAGGACTTTCGGAGGTGAGACGGAGCGTACTTCACCAATTTCGACCGCAGTCGTAGCCTCAAGTACTTTTGTGAAGCCGCCGTCGCT